GAAATTGAGTCACTTTGGGGACACCTTGAAGATATAGAAATCAAATAGAAATTAAAAGAGACACCAATTTTTTTCTATTGTTTCTGATGGGATACTCAATGTCAAAACTTCTTACTCCTTTGGAACATATTCTTAAGCCCTGGAAAATGTTTGACCCTTGCTTGTTGAAAAAGAGGTGTTTAATATTTTTCTGCACCTGCGCATGGCCTGCCTACCCCCTAGAACCAAAATTGAATGCAGTGGGAAGTACTGATTATGACACTATTTTACAACTAGAATTGTACTGTAACAAAGAGGGGAAATGGCCAGAATTACCTTATGTTCAGACTTTCTTTATATTAAGAAATAATTCTTATTTGTGTTCAAAATGTAAATATAAGCCATACGGGACTACCCACGTTCATATGTCCTTTCCTGTCAGTGACCTAAGACAGAAAAACAAGATCTAGGAAAGCTTTCACAATCTTAACAAATACACTGAAGTCTTTAAAAGACTTACACCTATGATGTAATGTTACTCTTAAATCAAACATTGACTTCTAGTGAGAGACAAGCAGCATTACAAGCTGCTACGTTTGGAGATGAATATTATCTTAATTTTAGAAGTCAAAAGACAGCCATGGAACAGCTGGCTCTTGCTGGAGACCACACAGTCCCCCCGCTAGCCTACCAACCAAAGGGGAGATTGGAAGAGGAGACATCTTCAGGCATGTATTCTTGAAGGTTGAACCCCTCTGCCTTCTTAGATCATTTACAAAAGGCCTTGGTAGAACATACATTTCTAGCTGCTTATTTGATGGAAAGACAGATTATTCTTATAGACAGGTTTATTACCTAGTCAGCCCCAGATATTATAAAAGATCAACAAAAGATGGATTTTGCTCCAGATAGATCACTTGATACTTTAGTAAAAATTGCCTCCTCAGTATTTTATACTCAAGAGCAGAGGAAGCCAAGGGTAAAAAACAAAAAGACTGGGGACGGGGATTTCGCTCAGTGGTTCTGCCACCTGCCTCACAAGTGCAAAGTCCCAAGTTCCATCCCTGGTACCAAAAAAACCCCCAAACAAACAAAAACAAAACAAAACAACAACAAAAAACTCCTAAAGAGACCAAGAGAAGACGCCTGCCTTTGTTGCAGGCTTAAAAGGAACAGATCCTACGTCTAGTTTGGGGGCCCCAAGAAGAGCTCCAAGACTACTAATCTCACCTGCTATGCTGTGGAAGTCCAGGCCACCTTAAGAGGAGTTGCCATAAGAGGCCACCAAGGTGGCTGCTGGAAGTCAGACTGCACTCTGAGGTGAAGCCCAGAGCTCAGACCCATCGTACCAGCTGATCCAGTCAGACTGAAGGGCTGGGACACTCTCTGGTTTCTCCCTCTGGCCGGACTGTCATCGCCACAAAGGAGCCCCAGGTAATCATGACCACAGAGGGAAAAGAAACCATCCTATTGCTGGATGCTAAGAGTGTCTCTCTCTCCTTTTTTTCCAACCCTGGCCTTCCTTCCAGCCATCATACCTCAGTGAGAGGAGTCACTGGAAGAGAGGTAACTCACTATTTCTCACAACCTTCAGGCTATAACTGGGGTGGTTTTCTTTTTACACGTTCCTTTTAATTATGCCTGAAAGTCCAGTTTCCCTCCTGGGGAGAGAGATTTTATCTTGTTTAAGTACTTCATATATATCTACCCTCATCAGGTATGCTGCCTTCCCCTTGTAGAGACAAAAAGAAACCCTGAAGTATGGGCAACTAAAGGTAAGATAGGTAGAGTGATAAGAGCCACTCTGATACCAATACATCTCAAAGATCCTACTAGTTTTCCTCACCAGAGACAATATCCTCTAAGGCCTGAAGTTAAGAGAGGATTATTGCCTATAATTGATAATTTAAGAGCACACAGTTTACTTAAAGATTGTAACAGCCTGTACAACACTCTGATCTTGGGAGTTAAAAAACCCAATGGGGAGGGCCAGGGATTTGGCTCAGTGGTTCCGCTGCCTACCTTACAAGTGCAAGGTCCAGAGTTCAATCCCCGGTACCAAAAAACAAAAACATACAAAAAACCCAATGGGGAATAGAGGTTGATTCCAGAGCTTAGATTAATAAATGAGGGGGTAGTGCCAATCCACTCAGTGGTACCTAACCCATACACTCTCTTCTCTCAGATCCCAGAAGGTGCCAGTTGGTTCTCAGTGCTAGATTTAAAAGATGCCTTCTTGTGTATTCCTTTACATACAGATTCCCAGTTTCTTTTTGTCTTTAAAAATCCTCACCACCAGGCCTCTCAGCTCTGGTGGACTGTGCTTCCTCAGGGATTGAGAGACAGTCCTCATCTCTTTGGGCAAGTGCTTTCCCACTACTTGGCATGTTTTGAATGTTCAGGTCGTGGTCTTACAATATGTAGATGATATACTGTCATATGCCCCCTCAGAAGAGCTCTCTAGCCAAGGCACTCTTGGTCTGCTGAATTTTCTAGGAGACAGGGATTGTAAGGTTTCTAGATCTAAGGTACAACTTTGCAGCCTTGAGGTAAAATATATATTTGAGGTAAATATATATTATATTTGGGCCTTATCATATCTAAGAGAACCCAAAGGCTGGGGGAAGAAAAAAATTAAACTAATTCTTTCCTTCCCACAGCCCAAGACTAAAACAGCTAAGGGGATTCCTAGGAATTATAGGCTTTGTCTCCTTTGGATAGCAAGATATGGTAAAATTGTGCAACCCCTCTCTCAGCTTATAAAAGAAGCCCCAAAGACAGATACTCATATTTTAATGAGGGAACCTGATTCCCAAACTGGATTCCAGAAGCTCAGACAAGCTCTGCTAAATGCCCCAACACTGAGCCTATGAAAGGACACCATTTCCATTGTATGTTGATAAAAGGCAGGGCGTGGCTTTGGGAGTGCTTACACAGGACTGGGGACCTGCTCGACAGCTGGTGGAGTATCTGAGTCATGAATTAGACATTGTAACAAAGAGATGTCCTGTGTGTCTGTAGTAGCCCTCCTGGTACCAGTGACATCCAAGCTGACTTTAGGCAAAGATCTCACTGTGTATACACCTCACAGTGTGGCAGGACTTCTTCCTTCCAGAGGGAGCCTATGGCTATCAGACAAACCATCAGCCTAGGGCCTATCTTAAAAACTCTTTGCTTTCACAGGTGTAAAAGGTTTTTATTTCTTCTGATTCTTAGTAGAAGAGATCTCTATTAATTGACCTACAAAAAGTTGTGACTAGTCTTATTTATAGTTACAAACAAAAAAACTGTAAAAGGGTTATTATAATTGGACTTGGCCAAATACATCTGAGTGCACTTTGGTTAATAAACAAATTGTCTTATGTGTGCTAGTCTGTCTGTCCAATCTGTCTTACCACTATTTTGTTTGAGCTCAACAATTTCTTTCTTCCTTTTGCCTTTTTGGATTTTAAAATAATTGTCTATAACTTAAATTGGCTTATAGATAAGTGTCATTAGAATTAAGGACATGCGTCCTTCCACCCAGGTTGCTAGCTGATCACAATGATGTCAAGACTGGTTTTATGAATGCAATGCATATTGTTGTCTGTGTACAATAACACGGGAGTCTTTCATTGGTCAAGGATAATCTGTAATTGTTATGATCTGGTTCTCACAGATCAACTAAAAGATTTGTTAAAATAATTAAATGGGGACACCTTAGGCTTACAGAAACTGCTGGACAGGACTGCCCTTGGTGAATAAAGGAGTAGCTGCTTGGCAATATCTTATTCCAGCCTTTGTTCACTAATGGGACCCCAATTTCCATAGTCTTATGGGAGACACACCCCAATAAACATTGCTAAGCATATTATTGTGATATGTTTACATTGGTCATCAACAAAAGGGTTTTTTGTGGGGAAAAATAAGGTTTTATTAAAAGATGCTCTTGGTACAAAAGCAAATTAAGGGACAAAGGTTTTCATATATTTGTGATAGCCATTATTGCTAATTTCATGGTGTACTAAATGTATTCATGCCTTCCAAGTGTACAGGTCTTCTAAGATATAAAACTAGGATTGCCACTGGGGATTTAGCTCAGTGGTTCTGGTGCCTGCCTCACAAGCACAAGGTCCCGAGTTTGATCCCCAGTGGCAAATAAATAAAACCAGGATTGTTTATGTAACAATCTTGATAACCTTTTTTTAGGCTCAGATATCTGTCTTTCTCTTATGCTCCAGCTACTTGTGCTAAGAGGTACAAGTCAAGTCAGCATGAGATCACCAGTCAAATAATAATAAAACAAAACTTACTGTGATGTGTATGTTATATATGTGTCACTACACTTAGAGATGCTCAGGCACTGAGCAGTTCAGACAATACTTCTTCGATGACACCCCATTAAAAAATAACAAATTAGGCGACAGCTTTTTGTGGACTAGATGGATATGTTTGACTAAAAGGCTATTCTATACTAAGATGGAGATTTAAGTGTGTTACAAAAATGGCCGGGGATTTAGCTCAGCGGTTTCGCCGCCTGCTGCGCAAGCGCAAGGACCCGAGTTCGATCCCAGGTACCATAAAAAAAAAAAAAAAAGCAAAAATAATGTCATCATGATTGTCATCCTAACATACTATGTGTGGCTCTTTTTTTTTTTTGGTACCAGGGATCGAACTCGGGTCCTTGAGCTTGCGCAGCAGGCCGCGATATGTGTGGCTCTTGATCTCAAGTTTTCTCTGCAAATCTGTATAACTATTGTCTGTTAACATTCTGCAGGGATTCAACTATGAAAACAACTATAACTGGGAAAGAATAACAATCCTCTGGCTGTACTTTATATTCAAAGTGCTTGATATCCAGATAAAATTATAATAGTTAAGCTCACTGGTTGGACTGCAATACTAATGTCATTGATCTTCTCCAAACTAAAGTTTGGAGACCAGAACTAGAAAGGTAATTGGGCTAAGAGGATAGCCAATATTCTGGCCCTGGCCCTCCAAGGTCAATGAGGACCCAGGACATGAGGGAATCTTTCCTACAGGATCCTACAACTTTGATGAGTCACCCAAGCTCCTGAGCGGGAAGACTGCTGGACTCCAGAGGACCAGGAATCAACAAATGTAGTGAGCCAAAGGAGGGTCACCAAAAGGGAACATTCCTTGAAGATGGGGCTCCAAGACAAAGAGAATTGACTACACCCACATACTTCCCCTAGGGAGGAAGAAAGGAGATTGATATTCTAAATAGGCATCAATCACCTTGCGTGGGGACCAAAGCCGCCCTAGCCCATTCCTTCCAGGAAAAATCCTTGTTTGGTCCATGCAATCTTGGTATGTGACTTGCTTTCCCAGTTTATCCTCATTTAATCAATATCACCTAAGTGACTATATTTGTAATCTTATCAGTTGACTGTAGTTTTGTCCCACCTTAGGCCCACCTGACCTCGTGGCTTTGCTCAATAAAACTCCCTTGAAAAGCAGGGTCCCCAGGCAACCCACTTTCTGGACTTCCTTTTCTCTCTTAGACAGAAGCTGTCTTTCTCTCAATAAATTTTTCTTACTCTTAACCTCTGTTGTTCCGAGAATTCATTCTGCGATTTTAGAGAACACGAACTCAGCATGTCTGACATTTAGCAGGTTGGGAGTTATGTTTCCCTTGTATTATTCGGAGGTCTGTGTATTACATGCCCTACATCAGGAGGATTGCTGCTAGTTTGAGATCAGCCTGGGCTATGTAATGAGTTGAAAGCCAGCTTGAACTACATAGTGAGATCCTGTCTCAAAAATAAATAAAAATAAAATAAAATAGAGGTAAAAAAGGGCTGAGACTGTAGCTCAGTGCAAAGGCCTGTAGTTTGATCCTTAGTACTGGGGAAAAAAAGGAGGCTAAAGTGGCACATGCCTGTAATCCCAGCTACTTAGGAGGCTGAGACAGGAGGATCACAAATTTGAGGCCAGTGGGGGGAATTCAGGAGCCTTTGTCTCAAAATAAAAAATAGAAAGGGCTGGGGATGTAGTTTAGTGGTACAATGACCGAGTTCAATCCCCAGTACTGCAAAAAAGAAAAAATGTGCCAGGTGTCCTGGCATACACCTATAATCCAAGCACTCTTGGGAGGCTGAGGTAGGAGGATTGCCTGGAGTTTGGGCCACCCTGGGCTACATAGTGAGTTAAAGGGCAGCCACAGTGAGTTCAGGATCCCCTCGCCCCCATGCAGTTCTCAAATCATGCACCTACACCTCTGACTGGTTAAAAAGATAACTGTTACAGAGGAACAGGTTGAATATTCCCCATTGGAAATGCTTGGAACCAGAAGTGTTTTGGAGTTTTCCGGATTTCAAAATATTTGCATATACATAAATGAGATATCTTGAGGATAGGACCCAAACCTAAACATAAAATTCATTTATGTTCATACATATCTTTTGGGGGGGGACGTTTTGAGATAGGGTCTTGCCATGTAGTTCAGGCTTGCCTGGAACTCATGGCAATCCTCCTGCCTCAGCCTCCCAAGTGCTAGGATCACAGGTGTGTTCTACCACACCTGGCTATGTTCATATATATCTTATGCACACGTAGTCTGAAGGTATTTTATATGGTATATTTAGTGTGTTGACATTTTGACTGCAAACTGTCATAGAAGCTGAGGTGTAGAGTCATATTGGTGCTCAAAAAACTTTGGATTTTTGGAGCATTTCAAACTTGGGTTTTGGATTACAAATGCTTAATGTGTAATTATGTCATTTGCTGGCATTTCAGGTATTAAGGGTTGGTTCCATTATCAAGAGTTAGAAATTATTGAGCCAGACATGTCGGTGCACCTCTGTAATCCCAGCACTCAGGAAGCTGAGGCAGGAAAATTGCCCCAAATTTGAGGCCAGCCTGAATTACAGAGAGATCTTGTCTAAAAAAAGAAAGAAAAGAAAAAGTTAAACAGCAGACAAGAGAAAAGAGTTCAACAGCCTACTTCTGCTTTATCAACAATGAAACTAATTAACTGTGAAATCTTTTTTCCCTATTCTAGAAGATGAAATAAGACGGTTGCATGAAGCACGTCTGCTGCTTACTGAAGTATGATGCTTATGCAGTTGAGATATGTGAGCTGAACTAGCTGCTTTTTCATAGAATACTGTTTTTTGTTTGTTTTATGGGACCAAGTCTTACCATGTAGTCCCAAAATTCAGATCCTCCTGCCTCAGCCTTGAAGAGAGCTGGGGTTACAGGTGTGCATCATATGTGACCCCTTAATCACTTTTTCTTTTAGTATTGGGGATTGAACCCAGGGCCTTTGCACTGAGCTACATCACCAGCCCTTTTAAATTTTGAGATAGGGTCTTGCTGCTAAATCACTAAATTTCCCAGCTGGGGTTTGAACTTGGAATTCTCCTGCTTTAGCCTTCTAGAGGGCTGGGACTACAGGTGGATGCCACAACGCATGGGTCCCTTAATAACTTTAAATGCACCTCAAGACCATAATGTTGCCAGGTGTGTTGGTGCACGCCTGCAATCCCAGCACTCGGGAGGCTGAGGTAGGAGGACTGTCATGAGTTCAAGGGCAACCTGGACTACAAGGTGAGACCCTGTCTCAAAACAAACAAACAAACCTATAATGTTAAGCGAAATAAATCAAGACACACATGCTTAAATATTGCAGGGCTTCTTTTACATGAGTAATCCAAAATATAAATAAAGAGCAAAACAAAAGAGATAATTGGAAACAGGGAGATAATTTTTTTTTTTTGACAAAAACAAAGGGGACCACGAGATAGGCGAGAGAGGGAAAGAGGATGAAAATGAAATTAAGATGTGTTACCTACGTATACTGACTTCCCAATATGCGATTATGTACTATAAACATGTACTAATAAAAAATTTAAAGAGTTTATTTATGCAGGGCATGGTGATGCACGCCTGTAATCCCAGTACTCAGGAGGCTGAGGCAGGACGATTGCCAGGAGTTGAAGGCCAGCCTGGGCTACACAGTGAGTTCAAGGCCAGCCTGAACTACATAGCGAGATCCTGTCTCAAAAAAACTAAAAAAACCAAATTATGTAAAGGGAGCCCAAGACCAAAAAATCTGAGAAACACTGTGTTAAGTGCAATAATCTCCATTATACAGACGAGGAAACTATCATGGCACTTTGTACTGGTTCCTGCAGATTTAGGATTGATCCAAGAACACAAGGTCGGTGTAGTGCTGTGTATTGTATTCAAATCGCCTTACTCCGGGCAAGAATATGTCTGCCAAACTTATCTTTAAATAGGCGTTGAAAAAACTTTTTTTTTTTTTTTGGAGACAGAGTCCCGCTATGCTGTTCCGGCTGGCCTTGAACTCGGTATGTAGCCCAGGCTGGTCTCGAACTCGCGGGGATCGTCCGGCCTCAGCCTCGAGTCTGGGATGACAGACGTGGACCCCCACGCCCGGCAGAAGACATTCTAATCACATCAGAAGTCTCGAGCATATTTCACAGTTCTCTTGCTTGCTAACTACCTGCGCGATCCTTTACGTTCGTTTCAGCGAGACCCTAAATTGCTGGGCCCTCTCAAAGTCTGGTTTTCGCTGACGATCCGTAGCTTCCCGAATCTGAGTTCCGCCGGGGAACTGGAACTCACCGGGCTCAAGCGGGCCCTCTAGGGATTTACTGAGGCTCCAGGAATCTGGGTGCTCTCCTCCCGGACTGCCCACACTGCGCACTGCACTTTGCAGAACTGATCAACAATGATGACTCCCCTTCCCGGGACTCACACACGGTTAAGGACGCGCCCCGGACGCTGATTGGCTGCACTCCACGGCGGCGGGCAGGATGCAGCACTGGATTGGGCGTCAGCACACTACCGCCCATCTCGTCCGCGCCCACACTCCCGCGCTGGGAGTGGAGACGCAATTTCATCCAGCTCTCGGCCTGGGCGGGGCATAGCCACGCCTCCCGGAACTCATAGCCACTGAGAGCCCAAGCCTGTGGGGGCGGGGCCTCCGGCGTGGCTTGGATTGGCTGGTCGGGAGCTATCTCCCGTCGTGCACTGGGGTGCCGGTGACTCACCCGGAAGGAGAAGCCCTGACTGGCTAAATGGAACTGTCTCTGTGGGAGTGGGCGCTGCTCTCGGGTTAGTGGGCGTGGACGGGTCTCTGGGGACTGGGTGCTGCTCGCAGGTGAGGGGTCGTGGGTACTTGGGTGATGGTCTCGCTTGACACCCTAGGGAAGGGGCTGTCTCACTACTTGTGATGAAGGTGAGGGCTTGCTGGGGATCCTAGAAAAGAAACCTGCCTTTCCTGTTTACTTTGCGAGTGTAAGGAATCTTTCCTTCCCACTCCCAACCTTTATCGGGAAAAGACAAGACCACGGGGCTCTTTGGCTTCTTAGCTCGTTAAGAATGGAGGAGATGAGTGGCTGTAATTAGTTTGAGGACATTTACCCGAGCGACTAGGGCTGGGAGTAATGGCAAATGCTGTACACGCCCACAGGACACGCGCTAAATCGTGGGCGCCTTTCTTCCCCATTGTAAGGAGGAGCGGGTTACAGATGGACAAAAACACGGAACACAGCTGCGTGGTTGAGATCACACAGCTTGGTCAGGGGGGGAAGGTTTCTCTACCACCTGTGGGTGTTTAGGAAGAAGAGCTGTTTGTTTGGGTACTGGGGATGGAACTCAGAGCCTTCGCACGGAGGGACGTCCCCAGACCTGGCAGTGTTTTGAGACAGGGCCTTGCCAAGACACTAAGTTGCCCAGGCCAGGCCCAAACTTGCCACCCTCCTCCCTCGGTGTCTCAGAATGCTGCGATCTCACCACGCCCGGTTGAATTTCCTAAGATTTTGAAAAGCTTTACAACAAATCCACCTTTAAAAAAAACCCAAAAAACAAATCTACCTTGTAAACGGCAAACAGCTGGGTTCTCACTCAGCTATTGGTGCTGGTACAGGTAGAGAAAGTAAATGATACACAGTTGAGATCAAAAGGGCTGGGCAAATAGCACGGAATAATTATGTAACCTAGGGGGCCCCTTACTCCATCCTTTGTATGCTGCTGTACAGCTGAAGAACCTCCTGCTCCTCCTCAGCCATAACTGAGCTTTATTTTCTTCTGGGAAATGTCTTCGGGAAGGAAGCAGATGGAGAATAGTAGTTGCTAGAAATTATTACCTAGAGTGTAGATTTTTGTATTTGTTCCCGTGTTTTAAATGAAAGTTACAGTGAAAACTTTCTCGGTGCCCTTTAAATTTAGATTCAGTACACTGCATCTCTGGGGTTCTTGGATTTTTTTGTTTCGGTGCTGAGGATGGAACCTAGGATCTTCTCATGGAGCTTTATCCGCAGCTAATGTATTATTTTTTATTTTGAGACGGGATCAGTTTCACTCATTTCCCCAGGTTGGGCTTGAACTTGTGATCCTCCTGCCTCAGCTTCCCAGAGTGCTGGGATTACAGTTAGGTGCCACCATGCCCGGCCTGTTTTTTTTTAAGTCAGTATATAGATATTTGTGTTTAAGTGATAATGGGCTCAAAGGGAAGAAGAACTTCACAAGGAGGTGATACAGGGCCCTATTCAAATTCCTCTCAAGACCAAAGGTAAGATGAGCTTTTTATTTTATTTATTTTATTTTTTTGGTACCGGGGATCGAACTCAGGACCTTGCACTTCCCAGGCAGGCTCGATGCCCCTGAGCTAAATCCCTGGCCCTAGGTGAGCTTTTTAGTCACTGACTTCCGGTCCTGAATTTAGGAGACTTTTCCAGGCGCAGATGTAGACTCCACTGAAGGTGTGGATGACCACAGTTTCCTTGACATCATCCTGCCTGTTGTTACTTTTGTGAAAAGATGCATCAGAATATTTAACTCTGTTCCTGTGCTGACAGTTTACCAATGCTTGAAAAGAGAAGAGAAGAAAAAACTTAGAAAAAAAAAATCTAAGGAGGTTAATTGTTCACAACAAATCTGTCTGCTCTTCCTGGTCACAGCACCTGGACTGCTTATATCTGGAATGTTATACGAGGGTTCAGTTCAGGACCCTTTGGTGGTGGTGAAAAATCATTTGTCAGCAAGAGTACCCTGGAATACGGCACTGAAATTGCAAAGATGCAGGTCTACTCTGCAGCGCAGCTGATTTTGTCACCTACCGTGTGTGTCGCTTTGTCGCTGTGTGCAGTGTCTGTCTGCAGAGAGACCTTCTGGTATATTGGAAAGAATTGCAAAAGCTGTTTGCTCTGCTAATTTCGGGCTGTAAATGAGTTCCCCTTCTCTTGAAACGTTCGCCTTGTGTTAGCAAAACATAAAATGGAAGGAAACTCATTACATGCTCTTCTAATGGTGAGGCAGAACTAATAAGAGAATGTGTTTGAAATTAATTGTGGGACTGTAACAACGAGTGGGTGTGCGGATGGGCATGGGGGGGTGGGGGCTGAGAGAGTCTTGTTTTCCCAGGAGCTGGCCCGGATCATTTGTTGGCAGTACTTACTGGCTGAAGTCAGTTTTCATTTCAAGGTAAATTGGAAAGGGAAATTAAACCTTATTGTTCCGCTCTTAAGAGAGGGTACGGGGATGGAGGCGGCAGCAAGGGTGGATGCTGTGGGAGTGGTTTTAGGAGTGACAAGATTAGTGCTGTATTTTAACGGAAGGTGACATCATGGGCCCCTTTGGACTGGAGTGGCCCTGAGCCGCAGTCTTCATGGTCCCCTTGTCGGAGTGGGTGATGTCGCTCTGCATGTAAACGGCCACACTGGGGGACATCAGGGCTGAGGCTTTAATGAATCTTTGCAAAGGAGAGAGTGCATCCTGAGCCGACCTGCACAGCTGAGGGAGCTTGGGCAGAGGTACAAAGCGGATGCCACGTCGCGCAAGGAAGTGATTACACCGCCCGGCTCTGGTGCCAGAGAACAGATTCAATCAGGGGCGCCTCCACCGGGCAGCCCTCTCAGGTGCTCCCCGGAGTGCACCCCTTCGGTGACCTACTTGTCAGGAGGTGACTGTGGTTACGGAGACAAAGAGGCACCGGAGCATTGGTTTTTGTACCGGCTTGGTTTTCTCAGTATGGCCAGAAGGGGGCGCTGTTAGGCTCTCTTACAAAGCTTTGCTCCAAATACAGGCCAGATGCTGCAGTGCCTGTATCCCTAAAGGCAAAAGTGTTTTTGTTTCTTGAGACAGATCTCATTGTGTAGTTCAGGCTGGCCTTGAACTCACTATGTGGCCCAGGCTCGCAGCGATCCTGCCTCAGCCTCTCAAGTGCTGGGATGACAGGTGTGCGTGCTGCTAAGCCCAGCTAAAGCAAAAGCTTTACAGCTGAACCTGCCTCTCTGGCCACCTCAAATGTGTTCTGTACAGGCCCCAGCATGTTTTGGGTGGAGGTGGCCTTGTATCAAACCTTCCGGGGCTTTAACTTTGCACTGAGCTGATGTAGGGTGTGGGTGTGGGTGTTTGGATTTTCATTTTTTGCTTCCTCTTTTAAGTTTTACACAGGACCCCCAAAAAAATTTTTTTCTGGGTTTCCCCGGGGGCTGTCTGTTAGAAACTTTGAGGGTTTTGCCCTGGCGGGGAGTGGTAGGGACAGAAGCGCAGTGACTAACTGAGCTTGTCCCTGTATCCTATGTCCCTTGTCAGATGTTGTCTTCCAACCAGCCTTGGGCGTAGGATGTTGGAGAACCCAGAGCAGGAGGTAAGAGTGGTCTGGGGTGAAGTTGGAGGGGAGGCACAGACACAGTAGCGTTGTCCTACGCAGTCCCCCTGGTGGCCCCACCAACTGCAAATGAAGCCAGGAGAAAGAAGTCAGTAGCAGCAACGTGGTTGGGAAGGGAAGCTCCTTTTTTGTTTTATTTTGGTTTTTCGGAGATAGGGCCTTGCTCTGCAGTTCAAGCTGGCTTTGAACTCACTATGTAGCCCAGGCTGGGCTTGCTCGCAGCGATCCTCCTGCCTCAACCTCCTGAGTGCTGGGATTATAGATAAGCGGCTTGCAGTGTAGACTGGAGAGCAGGGGTTTTTGTCTCTTGTTTGTGCTGTCTCTCCAGTGCTCAGCATTGGGCCCAACAAGTAGTGGGTGCCTGGAAAATAGCGCTGAATTGGATGAGTGACAAAAATGCAGGACGGTTGGTGCCAGCCATCCAGGTGCCCTGCCCTATGCCCGCTGGTGCTGAGGGCCGCTTCTTCCCCGCAGGAAGTGATTACAGTGCGCGTTCAGGACCCCCGCGTGCAGAATGAGGGCTCCTGGAACTCCTACGTGGACTACAAGATCTTCCTCCATGTGAGTGCGTGGGAGGGTGGGGCTGGAGGCCCCTCGGTGGTCCCCGCCTAACCCTCTGCCTTGCCTCCCTGCAGACCAACAGCAAGGCCTTCACTGCCAAGACTTCCTGTGTGCGGCGCCGCTACCGCGAGTTCGTGTGGCTGAGAAAGCAGCTGCAGAGAAATGCTGGCTTGATGTGAGTTTCTTCTGGTCCCTCTCGGGTCTTGGGGAGGTGATGGGAACTGGAGTGCAGTGAATGCAGCTTTCGACCCACCAGGCATTGAGAAAGGCTTCCGTCTTTATTTGGAGACAGGGTCTTGCCCTGTAGCCCAAGCTGGCCTTGAACTCACAGGGACCCTCCTGCTTCAGCCTCCCTAGTGCTGGGATGACAGGTGTGCACTGCCACGCCTGGCTTCTCCCCATTTTAAGTGAACACCCATGTAGGTTGTCTCTTCAGGGGACTTCCTTGTCAGGGCTGGCGTGGCTGCCCCGGATGTGACACTCGTGTAACCTGGCTGCCCCACTGTGACTCCACAGCCCTGTCCCCGAGCTTCCTGGGAAGGCCCCCTTCTTCGGCAGCTCGGACGAGTTCATTGAGAAGCGCCGCCAGGGCCTGCAGCACTTCCTGGAGAGGTGAGGGGAAGCCCCGGGTTGCTGCCTGCAGGGTGGGAGCTGGGCAGCGCTCTGCTCTCCGAGCTCCCGCAGTGACGCCCTGTGTCGCGGTGCCCGGGTCACCCCAGGGTCCTGCAGAGCGTGGTCTTCCTGTCGGACAGCCAGCTGCACCTCTTCCTGCAAAGCCAGCTCTCGGTGCCTGAGATCGAGGCCTGCGTGCAGGGCCGGAGCCCCACCACGGTGGCCGACGCCATCCTGCTCTACGCCATGTCCAACTGTGGCTGGGCCCAGGAGGAGCGGCTGGGTGTGGCCGGCCAGGCACAGGGTGATCAGCCCAACAGGTAAGGTGGGCGCTGTGGTGCAGCCTGTGGGCAGTGCCTTCTGATAGGGTAAGTGCTGTGCACCGTGGGAGCTTCGAAGCAGGCCTTGTCTCTGAGTACCTGGGAACGAGAAAGAGGAACAAGGCTTTCTCATTTGACCTGTTTTTTTTGAGACAGGGGCTCACTATGTAGCCAGGCTGACCTTAAATTCATGGTGATCCTCCTGCCTCAGCCTCGAGAGTGCTGGGGACAGACGTGCCACCACACCTGCCTCTTACTTGTCCTGTTCTTTTTTGGGGGGGCGGGTACCAGGGATTGAACTGGGGTCCTTGCGCTTGCATGGCAGGTGGCAGAACCACTGAGCTAAACCCCCGGCCCCCTTATTTGTCCTGTTCTTTATCCCTGTATACCTATTTAAATAATAACTTGATTGCTGGGTGTGGTGAAATACAAAAACCAAAAAATTTATTGACCTCAAATTCATGTATCATAAATTTTAGCTTTTTAGTGTGTAGTTCTATAGATTTTAGTAAATTCACAGAGCTGTGCAACTGCCAATCACCACTTCGTATTTTTGGACATTTACATATTCTAAAGAAAGAAAACTGGCCAGGTACTTTGGAACTTGCCTGCGATCCCAGCATTTGGGAGGCTGAGGCAGGGGGATCTTTGTGAGTTCAGTGCCAGGCTGGGCTACATAGTGAGTTCAAGGTCAGCTGGCACTACATAGCAAGACCCTGTCCCAAAAAACCCCAACCCACCCTTCGTGCAAAACAAAGGGCATGGGGTCACCATGGCAGCTACTAATGTGTCCAGACTGCATCCATCTGGACTAAGCCGAATCCGCGCTTCAGTGCCTTCTGTGGCTGTTTGAGACTCGTGGCTCGGGTGCACCGTTCATCTCATCTCGGCCGACCTGGCTGTCCCCTTCCTTCCCTCCCTGCCCCGCTCTGCAGTTGCTGCTTCCTTCCGAGGTCTGGGAGGAGGGCCTCGCCCTCGCCACCCCCCAGGGACGGGCAGGACCGGCTGGCAGTGTGGGCCCCTGTGGTCGACTCCGAGGCACCTTCCCTGGAAAGCCCTGCGCTGCCCCTTTCCTCCTCACCGCCATGCTGTGGCTGCACACGGCCGGACACTGATGAGGGCCGCTGTGCTCCCCAGCCTGCGAGGACGGCTGAGGGGGCCGACCATGCTGTGCCTTTGGACGCTGGCCAGTTGGATGCAGTTTGGGAAAACTAAGGTCTGCTCTGAGCTCTGGTCTACTTGAAGACAGAGAATGAACCAGGCGTAGTGGCGTACGCCTGTCATCCCAGCACTCAGGAGGCTGAGGCAGGAGGATCTCTGTGAGTTCAAGGCCAACCTGGGCTACATAGACCCTGTCTCAGCCCCCCACCCCCAAAAGACAGTCAGAGAAGGTGCAGGCAGGAGACTGGTTCTGATGGGGTGGGACAGTGGGGAGGGGGTGGTAGGGTGCACAGAGGTCTGTCGAGATTGTCCCTCCCGACTCCTCTGTAGAACAGATGTTACGCAGCTAAGTTACACTGCAGGACTGGGGGCTGCTGTTTTTGCACAGGAGCCTGGATTTAGTCTCTTGGGAGCCCAGTCTGTGGGTGAGTCTGTGGTGGGAGCCTCAGGTGAGGCTTTGGGACCTGACCGGCTGCCATGTTGAACATGGGCCCAACAGCTGTGCCCATGGGGTTGCATTCTCTTCTTGGCTGCCCGCCCCCCTTTTTTTGTTTTGTGTCCTGGACGTTGGACCCATGGTTACTCCACTGAGCCACATCCTTACCCTGTATTTTTTATTTTGAGATGGGGTCTTGAGTTGCCCAGGCTGCCCTTGAACTCGCCATCCTCCCGCCTCAGCCTCCTGTGGAGCTTCAGTTTTTGCTGTGGCTCCCGGAGCACTGTGTTTCTGAGGTGCTGGGCTCCTGCCACCTCCTGGCCCAGAGCTTACTCCCTTCGAGCTACTTGTTTTTCCTCACTAATCCCGCGGGGCAGATCAGGTGCCGAGGCCCCTTTTGCTGGGGCTTCAGCAGCTGCCAAGACCTTGGCCAGCTCCAAGCTTGGGAGAGGGGCACTGGTCCCGGCTGGAGGGAGCCAGGGGCCGGGAGCTTTGTCTTGGAGCAGCCCTGTTCTGCCTGCAGGCTTGGGGTGGCCTAGCTGTTCCCAGTCCCTTCCCATTTAGCGGCAGCTCCATCCCCAGGGCTCTGGAGGCCACAGAGTCGGGGGGTGGGGGGTGGGGGCCTGTTCAGTCCAGGAGGAAGAGCCGCCCAGGGATGAGGATGAGGCACAAGAGGCCTCGAGCCTGCACACCAAGCTGTTGCCGTTCCCTGGTGTGTGGGCTCTGTCACTCCCAGCCTCTGTGGTGGCATCTCGTTCAGAGTTGAGGGCCTTTGGCCTGAAATAAAACGCAAGTATTTAAGACCATTGTTGTGATTTGTGTCTAACCAGCTGGAGTCCAGGCTGGCCTCTAACTCACAGCGATCCTCCTGCCTCAGCCTCCTGCGTGCACCACCACACCAGGGAAATCATGAGTTTCTCAGCTTGGAAATGAAAGTGCAGAACCGGGCATAGTGGCCGTCCTGCGCCCCACCCCCCCTCCGTGCTCCCCCTGAGCCCGCCGCCTTCCCTGCAGCCGGGATCCAGCGCTCTGCTCAGGCTGGATCCTCGTTAGTGTGATTTACCTGCCCTGTCGCCCTCACAGCCTGCGTGCTGGGCCAGGTGCTGAACAGGAAGTAGTTTGTCAACAGGCAGATGCGGAGCCCGGGCTGGCGCTCGTCCCTTTCTCCCGCCCGCCTCCCCTGGGCCTCTCCTTCATCTGAGGCAGCCAAGCAAGGCGACGCTCGAAAACGCACAGTGGCAAATCCAAAATGTCAAAAGAAGTTCATTGAAGAGGGGGGAAAAAACCCCACGTACAGCCCTCGCAAAAAACCCGACAGATGCTCAGCTAATGGCATCCGCGCCGCCGATTGGTGGGGACGGCTCATGAATATTAATGAGCCCGGGGCTCCAAATGGTGCAGCTGTGAACCCAGCTGTGCGCAGCTCTCTGATCTCGAAACTTCCAGACAGGAGCCGGCGGTGGTGGTGGTGGTGGTGGTGGTGGTGGTGGGGGTGGTGGGGGTCCGCGGCAATTCCCCGCTCGGCCAAAAAGCAGCGAGCGCGGTGGGCCCCCTTCCCCAGCCGGCTCTGGCAGCAGGCGCGCGCAGCCAGCCTGTGATTCTCCCGACTCCCTTTTTTTAACGATCCATTAGCAGCTCGTGCTGCAGCCCGAGTTCCTCTGAGCCGCGTCCCGGGAAGGGAGGGCTCCAGGTCGGTCCCGGGCGTCCTCAGGTCTGAGCTGGCTCGCCGGAGCGGCCCACCCATCTGTGTTACACAATGGAACACTTTGCGATTACACGGTGAGACTTGAAGCAGGTTCGAGGCTTGCTTTAGTCACCTTTCTTTGAGCCAGGGTCTCACTCTGGAGCCCAGGCCAGCGTTCAGCTCACAGCAACCCTCCTGCCTCCGCCTTCTGAGTGCTGGCCGTCATAGGCCTGTGCCGCCACGCCTGGCCACTCCATCTTTTTCCTGATAGCTATTTCCATGGCCTAAGTCTTGTCATCTGTTACTGAGGGGAAGTAAGGGAACCTGGGTGTGTGTGGGGCATTATTTGGTGAAGTGTGTGTGTGTGTAGGGGAAGCTTTGGTTTTCTTACATAAGAAAGTAACTTTGTATGCATTTTGTCGGACCTCAGTGCCTGGTGAGGAGGGTAGGCAGGATTTACACCCAGCTTTTCACTGAGAGGCTGAGCGTGGAGGTGCATACCTATAATCCCACACTAGGGAGGCTGAGGCAGGAGGATTGCCAAGAGTTCGAGGCCAGCTTGAGCTACATAGGAAGAACCTGTCTCAAAAAGAACAAAAACCAGAAATTTAGAAAAGCATGTTTTTAGATAACCAGAGAGTATATTCACACAAGTGGTACTTAAGCTCTGAGGCAAAATTTTCTTTCCCCAAAACTTTTAAAGTTAAACCCACGTTACACTCAGGAGGGGGAAAAAAAATCGCCTGCAGCTTTTTTTTTTTTTTTTTTTTTGTACCGAGGATCAAACTTGGGGCCTTGTGTTTCCAAAGCAGGCGGTGGAACCACTGAGCTAGAGAAGCACTTTTCAGGGATTTTCTTAGGAATTGGAGCTCATTCCCAGCCCTTAGTTTCCTGAGTGTGGAGGCCTTAGATACACCGCTGAGTCCTTAGCCTTCCGCCTGTGTGATTGCTTTCCTTGGGAAGGGCTGTGATCTCTAAACCATTGTGTTGTGTTTTTTCTTTTTGAGACAAGGTCTCGCTATGTAGCTCAGGCTGGACCCAACTCACGATTCTCCTGCCTCAGCCTCCTTAGTGCTGAGATCACAGGTGTGGGCCACCATGCCCAGATCTCTTGGTGAATATTCTTTTCTTTATTTATTGTAGTATAGGGGACTGAATCCAAGACTTTTGCATTGAGCTACATATCCAATCCTTTTTATCCCTCATTTTGAGGCAAGATACTGCTAAATATTTTGAACACCTTGCGGTAGGTGGAGCATGGTCAGTGAGCCCAAAGGATCCCAGGGACCTTAGGGACAGAAGTGGAACTACATCACCCCCTGGCCCGACTCCCCAGGGCGGCAGGGTCGTTAAGTGAGAGGGTGCAGAGGCCTGGGGTTCACCTGGCACCACCAGCTGGGTGCAGCGGAAGCCCTGCAGATCCGTGCCTGCGCTGTAGCTCAGACTTCTTCCTCCGGCCACGCTGGGCAGTGAGCCCAAACTCAAGGGCGCCCTGTGCCTCCAAGATTCAATTCTGTACAGGCCACCTGTACAGAGCCCTCCGGCCTCCTCATGCCAGGCCTCTTTCTGGAAGGTTTCCTTAACTTACTGTTTTGGTTTTTTGTGGTGCTGGGGATGGACAAAGGGTCAACCACTGAGCTACATCCTTTTAAAAAATATTGAGACAGGTTCTCACTAAGTTGCCCAGGCTGGCCTGGGACTTGTGACCCTCCTGCCTCAGCCTCTCGAGTAGGGGGATTGCATCACACCTGGCCCAACTCCCCTTGAAGCCCCTCCCCCCTCTCCCCTTCCTGTCCCTCAACCTCCTAACCCAGTTGCCCTTAGGGAACAGGTGGAAGCTGCTGCGGAGACCCACAGGGCCCTGGGAACCAGAACTGAGGTCTCAGAGAAACAACTGTAATCTTTGGATGACAGGAAGCCACCGGCCGGTTCCTTCCGTCCCGTCTGGGCCTCTTGGTACCCCGGGTTGGAAGGAGCCAGCTGGGAGCTCCTTCCGGCGCCCTGGCCCCGAGGGTCCCTTGCCCTGGCGGCTGTGCTGGTGTGGGGAGCAGGGACCCACGGCAGAAGGCCCAGCGCCGTGGGCGGCCCAGCCCGGATGTGCCCGCTAATGGTGCATCTGCTGGCGGCGGGGCGCTGGCTCTTTAAGGCCGCCCGCTCCTCCTTGAGCGATGAGGCCGAGCGCGCGCGCAGGGGAGGCGGCTGCTGATTACGCAGCCCAGCACCGCTCCTGGAAAATGACTGTAATTATGAGCCGGTCCCAGCAGAGGGACGAGTTCCGATTCTGCTAATAACCCTTCCAGGTGCCTGCGACGCGGCCCGGGGGACGCAGCATCGCGCTCTGGCTGGCACCGCGCTGGCGCCGTCCCTGCTGCCTGGCTCCGCAGGCGGAGCAGAGGCCCCGGCCCGTCACCCTGTCTGGGTCTCCTCGAAGCACACTGGGTTTGGGCTGTTTTCTGTTAAATTTTTTGGTTCTTTTTTCTTTGAGACATGAGGCTGGCTATGTAGCTCAGCCTGGCATTGAATTTGCCACGATCCTGCTGCCTCAGGCTCTCCAAGTGCTGCGGTTACAAGTGTGCATTGCCAGTGACCGGACGAGGAGATCCCGGAAGCTCGGATCCGGAAGCTCCCTAGGGTCCTGTGTGCCATATCCTCCCGGGCCGCTGACACCGCCCCTGGCAGGGTTACCCGGGGCCCAACGCACGGACTTCCGGGAGGCGGGGAGTTTCTCGAAGCGCACCGGGAATGCCAGGGGCTGTGTTCTCAGCCCGGGAGACCTGGGCCCGGGGACACTTTTGCAAGGTCTAGAAACACTTCTGTTGTCGTACCTGGGGCTGGAGGCGTGCGCAGGGGGAGCACTACTGGCACATATGGGGCTGAAACCAGGGCTGCTGCTGGACCTTCTCCAGTACCCTCAACAAGGTAGATTTTTGTGGCCCAGAATGTCAGTAATGCTGAGACTGAAGCACTCAGCTTCCAATTGTGCCCCTCTAAACTGGGACCCGATGAAGAAATCATCTCCAGTCTTCAGATGCAGCCAAGGACAGTGGTGCGTGCCTATAATCCCAGCACTCAGGAGGCTGAGGCAGGAGGATTGCCAGGAGTTCGAGGTCAGCCTGGGCTACTTAGTAAGACCCTCCCTTTCCCTCCCTGACCCCCCCCCCCAATAAAACAATAAAGCAAGCCAGACGCCAAGGGCCTCGGCAAGGTGCTGGCCCGCAGGAGTGGCGGTTGGCCTGAGCCGTCTGGGTGATTCCCGCCAGCGAGGGAGGCCGGCGACCTCTGTCCTTCTGGGAAGGGGGAGGGGCCAGCTGCTCCCCGTCCAGAGCCACTGCAGTGGCACCAGATGCCGGTTCAAGTGCCCGCACTGCAGGCCTCTTAGAGCTCGTGCTGCCGCTCGAGGCCGGGAAGCGGCACGCGCTTGCCCAGAGCTGCAGAAATAAATGCTTCCTCCGGGGTCACCGCGGCAGGTGGTGGCGATGTGCGGCTGCCGTGGGGCCCAGGAGGGAGCTGAGCGCACACAGCTGCTGCCGGCGGCCGGCCCCTGAAGGCTCCATGCCAGACGCCCCGCTTCCCGGGCAGCCGGGCAGCAGAAGAAGGCAGGTTGACAAGGGGGTGCCTGGAAAGCGGGCCCGAGGGGACAGGACTTCTGCTTTGATTTTTTTTCTGGTACCGGGAATCCAATTCACGGCCTTGCGCTTGCCAGGCGGGAGCTGTGCAGCTGAGCTATATCCCTGGCCTTGTTTTTTGGTTTATTTATTTATTTACATTTAATTTTATTATTTATTTATTTAATTTATTTAATTTTTTATTTTTGTGTTGGTTTTTTTGGGGGGTACCAAGGATCGAACTCAGGACCTTGTGGTTTCAAGGCAGGTGCTGGAACCACTGAGCTAAATTCCTGGCCCTGTTTTTTGTTTTTTTGAGACAAGTTTCCACTATGTAGCCCAGGCTGGTCTTGAACTCACAGTGATCCTCCTGCCTCAGCCTCCTGAGTGCTGGGATCGCAGTTGTGCACCACCACGCCCAGCTCTGCGTTATTTTTAATATAAATTTTTTTTTTTTTTGTACCAGGGATCGAACTCGGGTCCTTAGCTTGTGAGGCAGGCGGTGGAACCTCTG